CCGAATACTCGTTCCCGTCGTCTTCGTCGGAAGCATCATGGTCACACTGATCGCCGTTGTCACTGCTACCGCCTCTCATCTTTCCTCGCCAGGGACCGAACCCGGAGTAGTAGTAATAGAAGTTGGAATCAACACCAGCTATGTCGGTCTTCCTCTTTCTACCAGCGACGCCGACAGCGCCTTCCTTCACCGATTCCGCGACCTTTCCATTGCTATGGGTGCAGCTGTAAGAGCGAAGCTGGGAGAGATGGTAGCGGCAGAGGGAGTGCGGGTGCTGCGCAGGCCGCTTACAGTGCCAACCTTTGCCGTCGCTCTTCTTGCAGTTCGCACTGCCCTTCATAACTGCAGCAGTTCCTCCACTGGTCTTGATAACCTTGTCTTTCTTCTTCCTCTTCACCTTCGCCGTGACCTTCTTCCGTGCTTTCCCTTCTGCCTTGCCGTCTAACCGGTTCATGCTCGCTTCGCTGCTGAAAGATATTTCGCTCTGTGCCATGAGAATCGACAGCTCCAATCCTCTCCATGTCCCATGGTCAGGGCAGTCGAGTGAAGGAGAGATAGAGGTGGACGAGGACGAGAAGGATTCAAAGCTAGGTTTGATGGTTACCTGTCAGGGAGAGAAGCTACAGCAGCAGCCTCATATTTGATGCGATTCCCCATAATGCCCTTGGATTCTTCGACTTCGTCTTTTACGCCATTTCCCAAGCTGCCCCCGTCTTCCTCCTCCTCTTCCTGGCAATACTTACTTAGCAGGTCGAATCCCGGTCCAAGAAGGAACAAAAATCCACAAAACAAAGCGAAGAAGAAAGGAACAGAAAAATGAGATCGGAGCGACTGCTTGAAACTACGGATCGCTCCCCTCGATCGATTCGAGAATCTAGGGTTTGGTCTTCCGGATCTAATTTCCTTATCTTAAATCGACAGCGAAACTTGTAGAAATAAATCCTAGCAGAAGAGGCAGATAACCTACTGGTAGTAAGTACTTCCCCGTCCCAACCTTACAGCAGATTTATTTCGAGCATTAGGATGAAGACGAAGAAGAAAGAGAAGGAAACCCTAACTCTCGGAAGCATTATGGCTAACAACAGACGAGGAGAAGAGAAATAGCGCAGATATATTCCATATTTACAATGAAGGCAAGGGGTTTAAGACCCAAAGTTAAAGAGCAGGAGAGGGAGCGGGATAGATCTTACCTGATCACAAGAAGCCATGAGGTCGAGGCACAACAAATCATCCCAGGGGGAGCGGTTCAGCTCACAGAGGAGCCCGACGGAGGAGGAGGTGGCGGCGGCAGAGGATGTCTCGGACTCCCACGATCGCGGCTGGGGCGGCGGCGAGGGAGACGAGACGAGGCCGGCGGGAAGCGGGGGAGAAGAGCACACGGGCGGTGTCCCCAGCAGCCGGGCGGCGCATTTCCGGATCCGCATGGCCGATCAACGGCCGCTGAGCCGATCGGCGAAGAGGGACGATGGATGGGGCGGTGGGGGTGGGGTGGGCGGCGCGACACACCAAACGGGGGGGTGGGGTGGCTTCCTTCTCGCGGCGGAGTTGGAGGCCGCTCTCGATCCATCCCTTTTGATACTTGACCCTCTTTTTCCTTTTATTTCAGGTTTAAGGCCTTTTTCCACTCGAACCGAAGATTTGGTTGGCAGATCGCCACGTACCTATTTCTCGTCTTCCGGCAGAGTTACCAGCCTTCTGATTGGAAAATAATTGTGGGACCCGAAGGGTCCCAGCTGGTCGTGTTCGTTTGACCAATCCTAAGGCCATTAGCGTATTGTTGTCGGAACGCGCAGCACCGTCTTCGGGAGTATGTTTTGATCCGCACATACATACAATATATATTGTTCTGGTGGACGGCATGAGAGCTTTTCTTTTACCAGGGCCCACGAGGTTCGGATGAAATGACGATGATGCCCCCCCACGACTGCGCAGTGCTCAGTGATTTCATGTGCGATCGATATCCTCTTGTAACCTTGTCGATGATGGTGGGCTTGTGGAGCTGCAGACGCAGCATGTAACCTGGTCCGGCTCAATCCACGGCGCAAAGGTTTGTGGCCCCAAAGTATTCCCACCTTGCATGGTCAAATTCTTTAGGTGATTAGGATTCTTCGATAAGTTGTGTACATATATGTAGGTAGCATTGGTGAACTCAACTCTTTCCATCATCATCTTCCATCTTTTACACCTGCGTATACGCAACAAAGACTGACGCAGGTGGCACAATCACGGCATAGACGAAAGAAGAGAACCAGTCTTCTTTTATATATATATATATAGAGTTCTTCCCGTTGTTATCAGATCGATCGTTCCACTGCAACCGTTCTCGTCGTCAGGTACTCTTTGTCGTCGTTGTCATCATCATCACTCTGGGCAGAGACCAGGTCCTCTCTCTGGCGTCTTCTTCAACTACCTCCTCCGTCTTCCCTTGCAAAGGCCCATATCCACAGCAATGGTAGCACTACACATTAGAGAACCAGCTGCCTTCTCCGTCAGACGCTCATGGTTGCATCGCCTGCCAGGCCTATGGATCAGCTGTCGGAGGAGTAGCTTATTGGCATTGGAACCTTGAGCTCCGCTCATCACCAGTCCAACTTGCTTTCTACTCCCTAGAAAAACTTGTCGGTTTTAATTGCCTGACGAGTTGTTTATTGTCTGAATCGGGTGTTTCCAGCTTAAACCCTAACTTCGTGGAAGTATAGAGGGGGAAGCCGTCAGACAATAGGATTCTACCGACTTCCTCCTCTCCTCGTTCTGCGCAGAGCCCAAACACAGAATAATACTTAAATAGTGTTCATTAGCGTTAGCACCACTTGTGTCCTTCCGGCACCTGCCGCTGCTATCTCCTGCTACGTACATCGGTGGTGGTGCCATTACCTATGCAGGAGCGAAACTGGCTGAGGTGGTGATTGCAAAGCGTGTGCGTCCTGCGCCGGCATCTTACAATACCAACCCTTACCCTCCTCCCTCTTTGTGCAGGTATTGACGGGCTTTGAGTTGTTCAGTGACTTCTTTCGATTTCTTCCTTCGCTGCATCCCCTCCTCGTTCATAAGATTTACTTCGGCACTGGTTGCTTGCTCAGTAATATATAGAGTGGGACAGTCATGTGTTGAACTGACATGGGCGCTGCTGCTGAGGATGCTTGCGCTAACCTATGGATAGGAGGAGCAGACATGAGCAGGACTTTGACGATGGTCATTTCCCCATATGGACCCCGCCGTTCTGCCCTTGTTCGATTTTGATTCCCTTTCCAGAATGCCCTCATGTTCCTCTCGTCTTCTTCCTGCAAGCAGAGGCCTCACCACCACCCATAATAATGTTTAGAATCCCGAAAGAGTTCAAAGAGATTTTTTGTTTAGTAAGAGAGTTAAAATCAATATTACAAAACAAAAAATTATAAGCACGATTTCCTACAAATATATATATATATATATATATATATATATTATTTTAGGTTATTTCTCAAATAGTTATCACATTATGATTCTTTTTAATTAGACTCCTAATTCAAAAACTACTCAACTTGTCCCTCCTTCTTGTCATATTCTTCATTGTTGTTGGTTATCTCGTTGAATCCATCATCACTTTCACCATCGCTCTAAGTCCTATACTACATCTCTTCCCCTTTGTCTTGTCAAAAGTCGTCGCTCATAGCCTTTGTGCAAGAGAGGATTAGGGTACGAGGGTCATTGCCAGCCTTTTGCTCTGCTATTGCCTCCTTTACCTCGTTGGAGCCAACATTTCCAAGCCAAGGGCTACTATTGATCATATGCCCCACTATCATCATTTACCTCATTGGACCTATCACTCATAACTCTTACATGAGGAAGAAAGAGACTCTCTCCCTTCTCATATGAGGGTTACGAGTGACAGATCTTATGGAGCAGATGATAATGATAGAGTAGAGAGTCAACAATAGCCCTTACGCTCGTCCTTTCTCGCGTGAGAACTATGAATAACAATAATTTCAGTGAAGAAAAGAGTCGACGATAACCCTTATACTCTCTCCTTCCTCGCATAAGGGCTATGGGTATTGACTTTGATACGACAGAGTGGATAGGAGATAGTGTAAGATATAAAGGTAAAAGCGATACAAGACATTGATACAAGGAGGGGAAGAAGACAGTGGAAAATGAGTTGAGGAGAAAGGACAATTTGAATATTATTTGAATTAGGGTGTATGGTTTAAAAAAATTAAAATGAGGATAACTATTTAAGAAAAATCTAAAATAAAAGTATTTTATAAGAAAATCGCTCAAATTATAATATAAATTAATAAAAATAATTATATAATCTATCAGAAGTCCGGAGTCTACGTACTCCAAGGCCTGACAATCGATCGTAGATTTTTCTCTATTTTGATTTTCTAATTATATTTATGTTTCTCTAGGTTCGAAAAAGAAAATACAAAGGGACGTTAAGAGGAGTAGCAGAATTAAGAAAGCCCACGAGAGATAGCAGATTTCAATTATGCTAATAGAGCAAACAAATATGTTGTGGCCCGTTGGTATCACACTTTTGAACAAACGGAACACCGTCTGTCTACCTCCTCCCGCAAGAAAGATCTTCTGAATCGAGATGCCACATGTCATCGTCCTCGGTTGACACGTATCGACAATATCTATCAGCTCCACAAGTAACGGGAGAAAGATTCTCCGGGCCCCATCAGGAGCAGCTTGCACAATCCACACACGATCGGATCAACGCACATCTTACATCTCCATCTGACCGTTGATGGCCGAACTCACGACCAGTATCGAGAACATCACGTACGCCGGCCTACTTCCCTTATAAACGTACTCATACCTCAATACACGACACTCCCGGGTGTCAAACATAGGTTTCCCTTGAGTACGTGCCACCCTTTGTTCTTCCTTCCAAGCTTCCGCTGTTGTTGTGGCCGCTCCTCCACGTCTCGTTTGATTTATGTGCGTTGGATGGCAATCTTTCGTCATATAAATCTAAGCTTTGCCAACACCTCAGCCTTCGTCTCAAAGGCTGTTCAAGCAAATAGACTCTTTAAGCTTGCACCATCAGATCCAAAGAAGGCTCCTCGACGACCTAAACCTACAAAAGGATCATTCCCGTTTGCATCTTTCTAATCCTTCTACCTTTTTAATCCTCACTTGCCTTCCTTGCTGATCTTGATCTGACCACCTCGGATAGAAATAGGAAATGCACATAAGGTTCGGTATCTTTCGAGACTGCAAATGCCAGGTTCGAAGAGGTAATGAATGCTACGTACAAGATCATATAAATAGTCATTCATCTTTATGCGACTTCGCAGTGGGTTTTATGTTAATATAGTTATTTTCATTCCATGACACATCCTCCTTCTCCTTTTGACCTCGATCATATATGAAACGCAGAAAAATGTGAGGTTGTCGCACCGATCTCGTCTTCAAGCTTCAACCTGTCCGAGGAGTACACCAACAACTTCCGCACCGAGTCATACCACGAATTCTGGGCACAAGTTTTGGGTCTCGCTTTCGACGACGGTGCAGCCCTCGACCCGAGAGGAAGTGGCACTACTGCTCGGCTACCTTCTCACCGCCTCCTCGCGGAGCATCTTCTCCACCCCGACCAGCCCACCGTTACCAAAATCCTCGCCCACATTCGAACACGTTGTCGCCCTGACATCCATGCCCTCCTCTCCGACTACTACGCCGAGACCGCCGACGCCTCGCTCCTCTGCGGCCTTCTCCTGAAGGACATCGGCCAGATTCGACGCCGGTACCGCCCGTTCAAAGCCGCCCTTCATTCTGTCATCTACGATAGCCAGTCACATCATGGCCTCCAAACCATCATCGACAACCTAGTCGACATCTCCAAGACCACCAACCCCTTCCTTTCATCGGCTTCATCTCAAAGTAAATTCCGAGCAGTCCAACATGGCTGCGCAGACCTGCTCAAGAGGCTCGGTTCACGCCGTAAGAAGGTGATGGCTAAGCTTCGGTTCATCAACCGCCTGAAGCGAGCCTTGGCCATATCAGCCGTCGTCGTCCTTGCGGCTTCGGCGTCGATAGTCGGTGCTTGTGTAACAATGCACGCTTTGGTGGCCTTGATAGCTCTACCGGTGTTCCTCTCGGCTTCGTCTCGGATGGCCTCGTCGAGGTGGCCGGGCCGGGTGATGGCTCAGCTGGACGCAGCGGCCAAAGGGACGTACATCTTGAACCGGGACTTGGACACCATCAGCCGGCTCGTGGCTCGGTTGGACGACGAGGCCGAGCACATGCTCGCCTTGCTGAGTCTCTGCGAGTGGCACGACGGCCACCGCCGCCGGTTGACTCAGGAGGTGGTGCGGCAAATATCGAAGAACCTCGCGAGCTTCAACCAGCAGCTGGATGAACTGGAGGAACACCTGTACCTCTGCTTCATGACCATCAACAAGGCTAGGAGATTAGTCATGAAGGAGTTGTTGGTGGCCAACGCTAGCAGAGTCCAGAAGAATTCAACGCGTTGTAGTTTTCCAGGCTATTAATGTACAGTGTCAAACTCATTCTTCATGCGCAATAAGTTGATTGGTGTATTCCTGCACTAAGTTTCTATCTTCCAAGGATTATATGAACTGCTAAACCACTCCATAGAGTAATTTGTCATAGCGGAATTCCTTCAATAGCTCGATCAAAGAGACAAATATATACATACCACTACGATGAAATAGCGACAATTGTTCTGTTTTCATAACCTTTCATTGTCCAGTGTTCAATCCCGTGCGAGATGTCTTAGAGAAATTGAACTACACGCACGAAACATAGCCACATAAACACTCAGATGATCCAAACCATTGACCGCAGACGATCTCGTAGCAATGCCACAGGTTGTACTTACGAAGGTGCTTTTTGGGTGCTTAAAGTACGCTAGTAAATCTTCCACCGTAAGTCATAGTCAGGGCTGACCAATATGCGGTCGGTTTTCCAACGGAGACTATCGGCTGAATCAATTTCGAAATCTCTGAAACGAGTGCCGATTGGTTTTCTCCTCCGAATTTTTCTTCACCTTGCGGGGCTTTTTTGGGGATAAGAAGAAATAACTAACTCAAATTTCAGAGTATGAATTTATATAAAAAAAGAGATATTATAAAATATGATAATTATATATTATTAATTAATAATAAATATAAAAATATTTATTAAATTATTTTATAATTTAAGAGAACATGTTGAAATCATGATCTTTATTATTGATATAATCATGATAATATGTTATCATAAATTTTATGATTTAAAATTATGATAACACAGTATCAAAATATTAAAAGAATCACGATAATCTTATAATTATTTATTTTTTAAATAATATATTTTATAATATGTTCCCTGTAAGATAGTGCTCTTATTAGAGACACTGATCTTGGACTAAAGTATAAAAAATTGTTTGCAAGATAAAAGCTTGGTAAGAGCATCTGTAAGTTGACTATAAGATGAGACGTGAGAGACATGTAGCTCATCATTTTAAACCTTGTCATGAACAAAGTGAAAGTTGATAGCTATATGTTTTATTCGATAGTGAAATACAGGATTAGCACATATATATTACCTCGATATTATCACAATATACATATGAAAGATTAGAGATTGTGACAAATAGTTCATACGACAATGTTTAGTCTAACAAAGTTCAATAGTTGTAGAAGTAAGCACTTGATATTTGGCCTCTATAGAAGATCTTGTAATAGAACGTTATTTCTTGAAACTCTAAGAGATTGGATTGTGACCAAGAAATATGATATCAACACTAGTAGATGTTCTGTCATCCTTATTACTTGCCCAATCGACATCCGTAAATGCTTGAAGTCATAGAGGAGAGTCCTTTACGAGAAACAAGTCACAATCAATAGTGCCCTTTTAAGTACCGAAGAAGATATTAATAGCTGTCTAACAATTGGAAGTAGACTTATGTATAAATTGAGAAAATTTATTTACTACATATGTAATATTTGAATCAGTAAATGTTAATTATTATAGACTGCCAACAACTTGACGATACTTAATGGCATCGCTAAGGTTAGTGTTATTAGAGAGGGTAAACAAAACATATTGTAGAGATGGGCATAGTAATAATATTGGCTTCAAGCATTTTGGTGCAATAAAGAAGATCATGAATATACTTCTGTTGAGAAAGAAATAGATCATTTTCCGTGTGGATTACTTGAACACTAAGAAAATAGCTAACAGATCCAAAATTTTGATAAAAACTTATTTCCATACTACTAAATAAACAGATTAATAATTATTGATTAATAGTTAGAAGTAAGGTGAAACTATATCTAGAATGAGCATACGATTACTAAAATACGTTGATGTGACAAATTCAATGAGATTAAAATTGAAGAGATAAAAGAAGCTTAAGTAAAAGGTATGAGACCAATTTGGACGATATGTTGATAATGATGTTCTGTAGTCCCATTATATTTAGGAGTATATGGAGGGGTGAGAAAATGGGAGATTGGCTTCCAAAAATTTACGAAGTTTTTTTATATTTACCACCATTATCAGAGTAATTAGAGTAAAATGAAATAATGGATCGTTGAAAGAACCTTTTAATAATAAGCTTGAATTTTATAAAATTGATGAATAATTTAGATATTTTGCTTCATGGAAAATAACCACATGTACTTCGTCAACAAAAATAAGATATTAGTTAAATCCAGATCGTATTAGTGAAGGACCCAAACATCAAAATATATAAGTTCAAGAATTAAATTACTTATGAGATAGGATATAGGAAATATAAGCTTATGCATTTTATTGCATTTGCATAAGTTACCCGAAAAGGAATAAGAAGAAGATGATGATAAAGGTAAATTGCAAGAATGAACAATATGGTTTAGAACCTTAAAAAAAGAATACCCTAAGCAATCGTGCCATTCTTGAAATGGAGCCTTGATGGTGGCTAAAGCAAAGATGGATTCGAATGGTACGACTGTTAGCTACTCATAAACTCTATCTCTATTCAGCTCTTCCATGAGATGTGCCCCCCATGTTGAGATCCTTCATGGCAAATGAAGATGATAAGAATTCAATAGAAATATTATTATAAAAATATTATTTTGAGATAGATATTAGCTTTTTCTTCATATCATAAACACAAAGAATATTATAAAGTAAAAAAGATTTTGAAGAAGAGGAAAGATTTATAGAACCGATACAAGTTATTTTGAGACCTTTGCTATCACCTATCATGATATCATATGAACTATCATAATATGAATAAAGAGACAAATTATTCAAGTCGAACGTGACATGATGAAAAGCTCATAAATTAATAAGCTGATGAAAGTTAAAAAGACTGAGTAGCATAGTGAGCATGCAGTGGTGGTAATGAAAATCGAGTATGTGGTGTAGTAAGATATATAGAATAAGATGAGCATAAAAACTAAAATATATATGGAATAACAGCTTATAAGTGAAGATATTTCTTAGCAACATGACATTGTAAGTCATCTATTTGACATGTGATTTCGTTGTTGAATTATTGATTAGATTTGTTGATATTTTTATTGTAACATTATTGCATGTTATTTTTAGAATAATTATTTGGATGATTATCTTATTGGTTGTGGATATTGACTTTATTGCGTGAATTAGCTTTATTGTTAGAATTAGCAATGGCCGGAGGAGGCAAAAGAGGTGAAGCGTCGTCTCGACTACTTGTGACGTTGTTGGCCTTCTTCGCCACCGACTCCTCAGCGGCCCGTGTCACACCCCGTCCGCAACCCCTCGCCAGAGGTTGGTAGATAAATACGTACGCGAACGTGTATATGTTTGGGCTGGCGATCGAGGCACCGTTAATCCCGTCTGTCCTCCGCTTAGTGCATTTGCGGCGGCGTTTGGCAGGGCTCCTCCCGCCCTTCCGCCTGCACCAACTGCGAGTGTGTCCTCAACGAGTGCACTTGCGTCGATCGTGTGGACTACAAGGCCTGCGAGGCCGATTCCTGTGGCTGGCTTGATGGCTTCCCAAAACTAGAACCGTCGCAGCAGTGGGCGATCGAAGAAACCGGTGGGAAATTAGGGACGATGGTGTGATCCAATCGAATTGCGTTCGTGTTCGCCTGTCGTCTTCTCTCTCTCCGCCCTATCCATCCATCATCCATCTATTTCTAATCTATGTCGTGTATCGTCGTGCGGTGTTGCTTTGCTTCAGTAATAAAATAATGCTGCTGCTATTATCGTGACGGATGCATCGTTGCACTGCTCATCGTGTACCTAAATTTGACGTGAGAGTTTGGAAAATTGCTCAACAGGTGACTTGTGGGAGAAACGAGAAAATATAGGAGACAACAGTATAACAAATCTTGTTTAGTTCATCACTAAACTAATAATATATAGGAGATATATTATAGATGGTATAAGAGTTAATAGAAATTGATCTGTGATATAAGCTAATAGATAATTTAAACATTCATTAAAAGTCTGATTACATATAATCTAATAATTTATTGTAGTTGTAATGAGTCAATTTCTGCCCAATAGGTGGTTGTACTTGATTGAAGTCACTGAACATTAAAGGGGTAAAAGCCATTCACATACTTTTTTTTTTTGTTTTTTAGGATCCGTTGAAAAATTTCAATTAAGTGTTCTTTTAACAAAAAAAATCTCTCCGAAGGAACACTTCACACTATAAGCGAGACCCATACACAAACTTAGATGATTTAAATTGTCAACCATGACGACTCGAAGAAATGCCATATGTTGTACCGATAGCAACTAAGCTCTCCCATGATAATAGTTGGAATAAATCCTAACTACGGAGGAAATATCGTTGCTCTGTTGAGAAAAATCTTTTCTCTTTACGTGTATAAATAGAGAGCACCATATCAAATATAAACATATTTTTCGTTCCATTCTTAATATAGTATCAGAGCCGGAGATACTATGTTAAGAATGAAATGCTGTTTGATATGGTACTCTCTATTTACACACAAAAGGAGTACATAATTCATGTCGATAATTTTCTCTCTCTCAATTTGTTCATGCTTTTGTCTTTTAAACTAAATGAACAATTGTATCATGCTATAATCTCTTCTTATGTATTTACTATCTTGATTTGATCGTAGCTTCAAAACATCAGTTCGATTTATCCCAAGGCACCACATTACACGTATGAGTTCTTTCGTGGATACGGAACACACCTAAATGATCTTCCCCTGGCTTGCTATCAAGTCAAATAAGGGAAAGTAAGGCCATCTTATACATGATTGAATCCTTTTTATGTGTGATTGCTTTCTCTCGATACGTGATGATTGCATTGTACATTTGCCGGACTTACATTGATCTTTACTTAAAGACACAGATCTTTAAATTGCTAGGCCAACAGTTGGTGCATGGAAGGGGCAAAGATGATAAGATACCATAGCTGCTACAGGGTGAAAGGATCCGAGTAGCGCCGGTCATTGAATCCAACCACCGGCTTTAATTACCGGCCCCATTTCGAACATTGGTCGGTTCGTAGGTCGGAATCGTAAAAGGCAAAGCCATCTTTTACCGCATAGCTAGGCTGATGTAGAGCATCTAACATCCTCGGTTTGGCATGTCTCGACGTGCTGTACGTACACATCGTCGGTCACACTCCAATAG